AATGTAAAAGGCAAAATTGTGAAAGTTTTACAATAGAAATCCTTCATGTTTTATCTTTGGTTAATAATATACACTTTTTGCAAAAAAAAAAAATGCAAGCAATTGAATTTATAATATTAAAACAGAAGCTAAAAGAAGTCGGTGTTTCATTACGCATACACTCATAATTAATTTTGGATTCACACTAAAATTATTATTTTTTTCATTGAGAAGAAACCCATTTAACTAGATATTAAGGGCAATAAAATTATTTTTATGGGACTTATTAATCATTACAAAATTAAACATGATGAATCGATCTTTTTAATTTTTTATTGCACAATAAAATTACTAAATTACCATTAAGAGCAAAAAAAATTAACTTAAGTCAAGAAGTTTTTTTTTACTTTTCAATTTTTTTGCATAGTACATTAACTTAAATACCCTTAAAATTACACTTTCTTGACTTTGTGAGCAAGGCGTTTTCATCATTTCATTCTAGCTTTTTTGTAATTATTATATAGGGTTAGGGGTAATTAAGTTTTTTAGTGTGTGTATATATATATAATTTAGATAAAAAATAGCTGACACTACTAATATCTTTTTTGGATGACTTAGGCAACATCGTCTAGACTTTAAACATTGTTGGCATGAGCAACATTCATTGTGTCATGCCACCCTCTTCATGATAATGTCATACATGCCTTCAAATAAATGATGGTTAAGTTTTGACAATATTTTTTTTTCTTTATTTTTTTTTCTCCTCTCCTTAAAACATGTCATGCATTACAAAAAATCAAAGAAGTTTGGTTATTTGTTTATTGAATTAGTTTTGATAACATATTTATTGATTTTTTTAATTCATTCCTTGATATTTAATTTTTATATCAAGGTTTTCAATTTTTTATTGTCATTTTTGTCTTGTCCTTTTTTTAATTGAAACATTATTTTTTTAATTTTATCCCTCATAATTTAATCTATTTTTGTGTTAAATTTAGTTCTTATTTTTTTTTCAAATCTATTTTTTTTTATCTTTTTTTTTCTTATTTTTTTTTCAAATCTATTTTTTTCTTTTTGATCCTTTTTCTGATTTATTTTTTAAAAATATTTTATCTCTGATTGTTTTAGATGGTTAAGAACTTGACATTGTTAATTTTTTAGGTTTATTTTTTATGGTATAATCCAACCTCATCATCCTTGTCATGAATTTTAAAGAACAAAATGGGTTGACTTTGTTTTAAAAAAATAATATTTTTTTTTTAATCTCACATCTTAACATCAACATTGAGTTGATTAAAGATTAATATTCATTATTTTTTTAACTTTTCTTTTTATAATGTTATTTGAATCTCATGTTCTAGGTTATGGATTTATCGGATTCACTAGAGTTGATTCATGTTTTTTTTTAATTATTATTATTTTTATTTTTTTAAAAAAAGCTTTACTCTTTTATATTAGATTAGCTTGAGAATCAAGTTCAATAATTTTATTTAATTTGCTTTTCACGAGATTCTTCTGATCTCACGACTAAGTTATAAATTTCACATGTTGGCTCAGATAGATAGTCTTTGGTCAATTTACGTTTTGTTTTAATTGTTTTTTTTTTAATTTTTTTTTAACATTGAGAACTAACATTTAAATATTTTTCATTTTTTTATATGCAATTATCTTGTTCTTGTTTAAATTTTACTTTGTTAACAAATAAAATCATTAAAATATTTTAATAATATTGTGAATATATATTTTTTATAACAATTGTTATTTTTTTATTATCAATATTTTATTTTTTTATATTATTAAATTGGTTAAACTTATTAAATATAATCAAGAACTCATGAATGACTCAACAAACATAATCACATTTAAAAGAAAAATATTTTTATTGTTTTAATTTTTTTTTTTTATTTTAGATAAAAAATAAATTCGCTTGTAGACCATATATGTAGTTTTAAAAAATAAAATTTAAGGTAATTTAGGGTACATTTTAGATTATAATAATGATAATTATTCAAAATATTTTTTATTTAAAATTATATTAAAATAATTTTTAAATTATTTTTAGTATCAATATATTATATAAAAACATAAATTTTTTATTTTAAAAAAAAAAATTTAAATAAAACATAAATTTTTTATTTTTTTTTAAAAAAAATTAAAATTTAAAAAACACGCACCAGCACACGATTACTCTTAACCTAACCCTTACCAGGTACATTATATAACAAGGTCAGTCTTGTCTTTCAAACGCCGAACGGCTATAAAATCCAAAACCCCGTCAGGGGCATTACATCAAATTCTGTGCACACATCCTGCGCACGTTAGCATCCAACTCCATTACCCGCGACTAGAAAAAACTAAAAGACTCGTTCTCTGTCCATCTCTCTCTAGTGCAACAAACACGCACTAAATTTTCTTCCCAATTCCGATACTACCCTTGCTCATCTCCCAAATTACCAATGCATCCAGCCTCCACCACCACGGCGCCGGTTAGGCGACAAATCCGCTCGCGCCATCGCACCTCGGCACCTCGGAGGCCGTCTCCTCCGCCGTATCCGTCGCCGAAGAGGATGAAGCTGTTGACGGAGGTAATGGAAAAGGCGGCGTATGCGGTTGTGGAGAGGGAGGACTATGGCGATATCAGCTGCGAACAATGCCGCTCCGGGGAACGATCGGAGGAGCTGTTGTTATGTGATAAATGTGATAAAGGATATCACATGAAGTGCTTGAGACCGATTGTTGTTAGGGTCCCGATTGGCTCGTGGATTTGTAACAAGTGCTCTGGAGACGGCCAAGGACGTGTAAGAAGTAGGGGGGTTTTATTTTATTTATTTTAATTTTTTTTACCCTGGTGTCGTTTTGTGAGTAACAAATGCGCGTTTTGATTGGTTTGTTTTTTCTTTTGTTAGGGTTATCGCAGAAGAAGATAATTGATTTTTTTAGGATTCAGAGGTGTGAGAAGGATGACATTAAAGAGAAATGCAGGTCTCTCCAAGGTGATTTTTTCTTATTTATTTATTTGATTGTTAGTATCGTTTTACTTATTTTATTTGTGTGTGTTTTTGTGATTATTCAATTTTCTTTTATTGATGTTTTTGATGGATTGTGATTGAGCTTGTTTCAGGCTTTGCATGGAACAAAGTTCTGCTGGAAGTTAAAAATTATCTGGGTTTAAATTTTTAATAATAATATTATTAATAATAAAGAATGAGTATTCCTTTGGGGATATTGGAGTGTGTAGCTCAATGTACTCTTTACTGCCAAGCAGTGGAGGAGGGTAGGACTAGGTTCGAATTGTGCCTTTCCCACCTAAAGGACCATAAAAGGAATATAATAAATAATAAAAAATAATAACTAAAGCATTAATGAAGAAACTAATAGGAAGGTTAATGAAGAAACTAATAGGAAGGAGAGGAGAAGAAGAGCCTTTTGAGAGTATGATAGAAGTTGTTTTTTAAAGTGTTTTTTTATTGAGAAATGTATTAAAATAATATTTTTTTAAAATTTTTATTTTTGATATTAACACATCAAAATGATAAAAAAAATATTAATTTAAAGGTAATATTAGTTTAATGAAGAAACTAATAGGAAGGTTAATGAAGAAACTAATAGGAAGGAGAGGAGAAGAAGAGCCTCTTTGAGAGTATGATAGAAGCTGTTTTTCAAAGTATTTTTTTATTTAGAAATGCATTAAAATAATATTTTTTTTTATTATTATTTTTGACATTAACATATCAAAATGATAAAAAAAATATTAATTTAAAGCTAAAAGAAATAATTTTTTTTCAAAAACATGGTTGGATTGCAATGCTAAATGGTGTTGAAGAATCACAAATAATTAAAAAAAAAGGAAAAAAAATAGAGGGAACAAAGAAGAGTTTTGAGATAAAATGATAAAAAGTAGAAAAAAATGGACATTGTTTTCGGCTAGGATTAAACTCATAGGAAGTTTTGGAAATATTACTGGTAGAACATTTTATGAATTTCACTAGTAACTTGAAGCACAATGAGGGGTTCATTTTCTTGCAATTTAGCCTGAAAAGTTGTTTAATTAATGTAGAGATTCCAATTTTGTGCTAAATGATCCTTGCCAATTGTAGAGATATTCAAATTAGATCAAATATAGAAACCGTTGAGGTATTTCTCATCTTATATAAAGATTCCAACAAATGGGACTGAACTCCAGTATGATTTGTGATTGTCCTTGTTATTATGAGTAGGATACTTATTACTTTTCCTTTTACCCATTTTACATTTAAGTCTAATCATAAATGGTATCGATTTTAAGATCTCATATCCACTGAACATATTGTGCTCACATGACTAAAACTCTTAGGCAGCATTTGGCATGGATTAAGGATGTAGTAAAATTTCATAAGAGTACTCGTCAGCAGAATAAATGCTAAGAATACAAAATGATGAGTAATCTACATGAGATTTCTGTGGTTAGTCCTGATACGCTTAGAGCTAACAAAGTGGAAATGCAGTATCGAAGGACCGTAGTTTCACTTTATTATAAACTGTTTTGAGTATTGTATTAGTATTAGCAACACAGTGCCTACAAAGATAGTAAGATATTTCAACTAAACCCCACTGACTTAGAACTTTTGTAAATTTGGTAATTTTTTAAATATTATTAGTTTGATTAAGTATTCTCTCTTTCTCATGAAAATGGTATAATGGTTCCTTTTATGGCCCCAAATATGGCGGAAAAAAATCAGTTGATAATAATTGTGCAAATGATCTATTTTTCCTTTATCATTAAAATGAACTACATGTTAAGGGTAAAAATTTAATCAAACGGAGTGAATTTGAAACTGGCAGAATAGAAAAATGGATTGCATTTTTAATCTACTGTTCTTAAACGAGCTAAAAAATGGGTATTAGGTATAATAGAGGGGATAGATGTCAAGGGTGAAAATTTTTAGTTATAAAAAATTTGAAAATGTTGCAGCTGCAGCAACAGATGGTGGTTAGAATGGGGATAATAGTTTTAACAGTGTTAATCAAGCCATCTTAATCTAACAAAATAATACTAAATAGGGTTAATTGATGATTAAAGTTTACCGAAGCAAATGATAAACTGCTTCTTAAATGAGAAAAGGATCCATAACCTTGGCGTGACTTAGGTTTATGGTGGTAGCTCACAATCTAATCATGTCTCAGATAAGTCCATCAGACAATTACTTTGTACAACAGGCAAATTGTTGCATTACATGTTGAATCAGATGGTTCGAGGAAGATCATGCCTTATACTTGGCCTATCCTAAGAACATTCATCTCTTAATCAGCAAACTTATGTTTCGTGTCTTAGGATACTTCATCAATCATAAATTTGACATGATTACATTTTACTTGCATCAACCATTTACCCATCATGTGCTAAATTAGTGGGTTCGATATCTTGAGTGTGATCATTGATGCTTTGTTATGTGACACTGATTGTCTGTATTTATGTATGCACTTGCTATTCTTTAGGAATTTTATTTTGATGCATATGCATTACCTTGTATGCCATGGTTCATGTAAAAAAGGATTGTAGTACTTAGCTACCCATAAACATGTGTTTAGTAGTGGTACTGCAACATAATATAGAGACAGCAGTCATCATTTCTTTCCATTACAGTATTTTTTTCCAAATATTATGTATCCATGTGCCATTGACTCCCATAATAAAGCATCGAACTTATGAATTATGATATATTCTCAAAACCTTTTCTTTAAGACTAAGTTTTCTACAAAATCAAATTCGCTTTGGTGAATGTACTGTATGTTTTCCATACAAGTATGAAAATTTCTAAATTCTTACTAAAATTCCTGCACATCTTTGTAAAATGAAAAAGTGAAAGCCCTAGATAAAAAGGTAAGCTTTATAATACAGGTAGTTGCTGTTTTGTCACATCATTTTGTTGCTTCCTTTGAATTGTTTCTCCTAATGCATGGACTTCCATGGCACAAATAGTTTGGGGTCTTGTCATTTACTTCCTATTTGTCTGATCTATTTTTGCTTATTAGTTGCCATGAATGCTATCACGTATTTTTTCACCACATTGCCTGTTTTTTGCTGCACCTTTGAAGCTGTAATTTTCGTTTATTGCTTATCTTGTTGCTTTGTATTGCATATGAACATTTCCTTTGAAGTCAAGAAATGTTGCTGCTAATGCATAAACTAGTTGAATTAGATTTGCTGATTTTAAGTTGATGTTTTCATTCCCTCCTCTCGAGCTGTTTTCAAGATTCTAGAAAACGACGGAGACGTTCATTGGTGTATCAAAAGAAAAGAAGGAGACTGTTGCCATTTATTCCATCAGAAGATCCTGCCCAAAGGCTCAAACAAATGGGCACCCTTGCTTCTGCTTTAACAGCATTACACATGGAATTTAGTGATGATTTGACCTACTTGCCTGGCATGGCTCCTCAATTAGCCAATCAGGCCAAGTTTGAGCAGGGTGGCATGCAGGTCTGAATTTAAAACTTTCTTTTCAACACTGTATTTTCTCCAAACCTTTTACTGTCTTGTATTCCATGTTATTTGCATGATCTGGTGCCTTTATTAGGTCCTTTCCAAGGAGGACATTGAGACATTGGAACAGTGCAGAGCTATGTGCAAAAGAGGCGAATGCCCTCCTCTTTTAGTAGTTTTTGATTCATGTGAAGGGTACTGGCATCTTGAATACATTTATTGAGCTAACAACCATATTTAACCACTGCATATTGAGTAGGTTCATGTATATTCTGTCATGCAGATATACAGTTGAGGCAGATGACCAGATAAAGGATTTGACCATTTTAGCAGAATACTCAGGTGATGTGGATTACATTAAAAACCGAGAATATGATGATTGTGATAGTATGATGACCCTTCTTTTGGCAAGAGATCCATCTAAAAGCCTTGTCATCTGTCCCGATAAACGTGGAAATATTGCACGCTTTATCAATGGCATTAACAATCATACTCTGTAAGCCTGCTTAACCTATTGCTTCTCCTCCATGTTGTGTATATATATAAGCAAATACTGTTCTGATGATACCAAATTATTCTTAGACCTTTTTATTGCCATGTATTCTACTCTGTACAACTCATGTTGCCCCATTCGCATCTCCTTTGTCACGTCACATATAAAATTCTACATTTATTTGTGCCAAAATTGCATGTAACTGAACTAGAAATTATTAGTCCACCCTCTGTTAAGCTTAAGATATATCTAACTGTGTGCAGGGATGGCAAGAAGAAGCAGAATTGTAAATGTGTGAGATACGATGTTAACGGGGAATGCCGGGTCATTTTGGTTGCTACTCGTGATGTTGCTAAAGGGGAGAGGCTATACTATGATTATAATGGACATGAGCATGAATACCCTACTCAACATTTTGTTTGAGAAAACTTATAGATATCTAACAATCCTACAGAACTGGGATTCAATTTTGGATCCTGCTAGATCCTTTCTCATCTAGCGTTTTATTTCACAGTTTACTCATTGCTACTGCAGATTCAAAAGCATTTCTTCTAATGTATCCATGGGGTATTTATAGTAATTTATGATGTAGAGCTGGCCTTTCTAAGGTCACGACAGAAATATAGCAGGGGAGAAAATTTCCTTGGAATTTAGCATTTGGAGACATTTTTATGTCCTAGGGATATTTTTAAGGAACATTTTTTGTAATACAGATTTCAATGGAAGTTGTTTCTTTTTATCTATCACTCTCATTCCATGATAATAATTTGTCTTTCCTTTACAAGTATTTTCATTTAAAAATATCCATGCGTGCTTTTTTTATTTTACTTTAAAAATATCCCTTTGGAAATCTTACCAGCTAAATGTTTTTTCAAAGGAAATCATGCATTTCACCTTTCTTATGATTTGCTAGCGCATAATCTGTGGGAAAGCAAGTACTGCGATCAGTTGCTTTATGTATCGATGCTATATTTTCTGTCAGCCCAATTGTGATTCAGTTTGATCCATTATGTTGGAATTAGAACATTGGATTGAATGCTTTATTGCAGAGGCTTTTACTGTGTATCAAATCAGCTCATGTTCAACTCACAACATCTACAATTCATAAGTGATAACAATCCATTTCTTTGTATTTATACCGCAGGATGCATAAAATGTGCATAAACTTGACTGTTGACTTTTGTCTTGGGACATTATGTAAAACTTTTATGACCGTCATTCATACCCCTAACTTGCTTGGCATTGTAGTATTTCATCTATTCTGTTCTTTAATTGGGTTTTACAGTACTTTGCTAAGAACATTGCATTCTCTTACTTTTCAGGCCAAGTATAATAGCCGGGTCTCATGTTAAAGTAAGTCTCATATCCATGGAAATATAGCTTGATATCAGTGGTTTCATGGAGGATTCTGTGTCATTTTGCTTGCTGAGAGCATGCATTTAATATTCTGTCCTTTTTTTTTCATTGAATTATTGTGTTTGTTTTCTTAGTGAACGCCAGTGCAATTCTTGTAATTTCGCTGATACATCTTTCTGCATGCACTTCGGTCTTTTACATTCTTACTTTTCATTTGTGATGTGAATCTTGAGATGTTAAATTTAGCCATGGATAATTCGAAGGGATTCATCAAAGCTCCTGATAAGTGGGACATGAGGTGTGCTGCACTTCTTTGGATGCTTGTTGCTGGGTATGTCTCGTGTTGGCTCCTATGCATGGCTATCTATTATGTTGTACTTCCAAAGATTACTGAAGGTGCTGGATCTACTGCCTCTTCACCAAGGCTGCTCAAGATCTTGATTTGAATGCTCTCAATAGCTGCTTAAATGCTTGCATTACAGAGGCCATTTCTTGGAATCTAAGGCCTTAGGTTCAAGTCTTGAGAGCAGCCAATTCATTCGGTATAACTGAAAGGGTTGCACAATCTCATTCCAATTCGCTTCCATGGAATCATGGACATTTTGGTTTCACTAATTTATATCTCCCCGTGACCATGCATGTTTGATGCATTGTTTTCAGGTTTTTGATGAGATGGTATGCTTCTTGAAAGTTACTATTGTTGGTGGTTCATCTAAACAGACTGTAAGAATCCTTATGGACTGCCTCACCACTCTAGTTGCTTCCCTTTGTGTAAGTGTTATAAAATAATTTTGTTAGCCAGAAATTTCCTTGGATGAAAAAACAATATTTTCAAACCAAGGTGCTCCTCTTCTCTTATGTAAAATGTATTTGTTGATTAGAAAAAAAGAAGAGGAAAAGATAAATAAACCTCCTATCAAAGTTATAATATGAATTCTGAAATTTATTTTGAAAATCTACACCGTGTTTTTCAACTGGAATATGCAATATGGTAAGCAATTAGGTTGTAGGATGCTCTGGCATCCATGACCATGTTTCCATGCTACCATTTCCCCACCTTATGATGCTTCGTTCTTCCACACGAGTCGTCCTCATTTCATTAAATTTTAGAGTACATGGTATCTTTCCTTCCAGGGTTGTACATGTTTGAGAGCCAGACTCAAGTTGTGCCACTAAAGCTGTCTTTCAATTATTCAATTTGCTGCGCAGCATCGAATAGAAAGATCATTTCCTGCTTGCTGATCTTAGTATCTGACAATAACAGGTGACTGAACCACATAGTGAATGATTAAAACAGTTTCAACGCAGGTGAAATGTAGTATCTTGATATGTTAAGTTTTTAAACTGTGCATATTACAGCCTGTTAAGAACGTCAAGCTCGTGCATCTCATTTCTCTTACCAGAGTTCTTGTTCGCCCAACTGAATTAATGAACTTTATGTTTCAATGACTTGTAAGATCAATTCTTTGCCCTCTATTAATGAAATTTATGCCATGCAGTCGAAGAATGCAATCTACTTCATTGTCATTCCTTGTTCTCCTAGTTCACACCCCCCCCTCCCCTCATCGAAGCCTTCCGGTATCTGTAATACCAAAAGTAAACACTAAATACTGCCACTGCGTAGTGTTTTTCTATGTTGGAACTTACAAGTTGAATTTTGCATGGTTCAAACAGATTATCAATTGCAAAAAGTTTACCAAGTGTTGCGTTATGGACCTGGGTTCATTTTCCTGAATAGGTGAGGACTCCTTTACCTAACCGTCAGTTCGTGTGGGATTCTAGCGGACACAATGGTCTCTTAATTTTGACATGGTATGAGAAACTCACCAACTAAAACTGCTTCTCTGCTAGGATTTATTTTATCATCAAGTCTTCTGCATAATTTTCTCCGAACGTTTTTTCTTAAACCTTGAAATGCCTAATTCATGATTACAGACCGAGGAGGTCACTTCTATTCATGCAGTCGCAGTCCCACACAAGATATCCTAGTACATCAATTTCAGGTATCATATCTTGATTTTGTTGGGGATTTAGCCCTTCTCATTGATTTAACAGTCGCAAAATCCAATATATAATCAATTGTTGAAGTGTCCCCCCCATTATTACTTGCAGTCCCACAGGACAAAATCTAGGTCGTGCGATTTGCCTACCCCACCAAAACCCATGACCTAACCTTCAAAGCACAGTTTCATTCTGTCAGGGACCGTTGTACGATTTTGAAAACAAGGGCGTCTGCAAGACTTGCATGACTGCTAGTCTTGTTCAGCTACCTGATACTTCATATAATTAGGTCTCTTAATTTCCAGATTATTAGTACTGGCACACCTCTAAAATAATACATACAAAATCCAAACCAAGTCCAGTTAATGATACAGTCAAATTTCGAGTACATGAAAAATCCAAAACTATAGCAAGCAAATCTTTGGGAACAATTGTTGTAAATGCCACGGTGCACGTGAAGAAGGCGCTGTGAACTTGTGACCTTGGCCATACAGTACGATCCTGTTAAGCATTGGGCAAGCTCGAGTTTCTGAGCAGTAATCAGGCTCTAGTAAAGGCCACAGGTGTCTATCCCAGGAAGATATAACGGTCCTAAACCACTTTACCGCGTGCCAAATTAAGGAAAAAAAAAAAAACTAAAACTAATGAATTTCAGAAATAACGGCCACAGGCGTCTCTCGGCGCCGAACACCACATTCTAGGGTGGCGTTAAAAGCATCTTGCCGGTCTTCTTAATGATGATGCAACAGCTATTACTACTCCTTACTTACATGATAGAGCTCTGATAATATTTTTTTTTCTCGGTATTGAAAAATGCGTTGTACTTGTAAATTTTTTAAAAAATATGTGGTTAGTTGTTAATTTTATTATAATTAATTTTTTTTATTATTAATTTTATTATTTAATATTTAATTATTATATTTTTTTATACTTTTCTTGATTGAATTTTTTTAATTTCTTCAATTAAAATTTAATTTTTTAATATCAATTTTAATTCTTATTTAAAAAAAAAATTGAATTTTTTTTTGTTAACAATTTTAATTCTTATTTTTTAAAAAAAAAATTGATTTTTTTTTGTTAATTTTTTTTTTCAATTTTACCCCTTATTATTTGGTTGGTCGAGAGTTTAACTTCATAATTTTTTTTTTTTTGCCTTTTATGGTTCAATTCTACCTTTTGACTTGTATTATGAATTTAAATAAGTAGACCGGGTTGGATTTAATTTTTTTATGTTCTTTTCAATTTTATTCTTCAAAATTGTATTAGTTAAGGATTTTTGCTTTCATTAGTTTTCATTTTTCTTTATATAAATTTGTTCTGATCTCATCTCTAGAGTTATAGATTTGGCTGGTTTATCAAAGTGCACTTGAGTCTTTTTTTCTAGTTTTATTTTTTGTCCCACTATTTTTTTTATTGTATCAAATTTGATTATTTTTTTTCAATTTTATCTTTGACATTTGATTTTTATATCAAACTTGGTTCTCATTCTTTTAATTATTATTTGATTTTTTCTTATACTTTTCTTGAATGTTTTTTTTTCAATTTCATGTCTAAACTTTTGATTTATTTTCTTTTTGTATCAATTTTTATCCTCATTCATTTTGATTCTATTTTTTTTATTTTTTAGTTAATTTTACACTTTATAATTTGGTTGATTGAGAATTTGGTTTTATGATTTTTTTGAGTCTATCTTTATGGTTCAATTCGATCGCATAACTCATGTCACAGATTTAAAAGATTAGACCAGGTTGCAATCAATTTTTTAATGTCTTTTTTAATATTTTTTTTTTAATATTATTCTTTAATATTACGTTGGTCAGGGATTTTTTTTAAATTTTATTCTTTAATATTACGTTGGTCAAGACCTTATCTTCATTACTTTTTCACTTTTCTTTTTATGGATTCATCATGATCTCATGTCTCGAGTTATGGATTTGGCAGGTTTATAATGGTTGACTCGAGTCTTTTTTAACGTTGGTTTTTTTTTAAGTTTTTTTTTTATTTCGTAGCTTTAACACGTGATTCATTTAAGAATGAAGCTCCATGATTTTATTTGATTTGCGTTTCATGAAGTTATCTTCATCTCACAACTAAGCCACATATTTGGTTTGTTGGCTTGGATAGACTCGAGTTATTTTTTTTTTAATTTCATCATTTAACATTTTATTTGCTAATAATTGAGATACATATGTTTTTCATTTCTCTTTCTATGTGATCATCTTATTTTCATTTAATTTTTACTTTGTTATCAAATAAAACCATAGGGATCTTTTAAGATTATTGAAAAGATATATTTCTATGGTATTGACAAGCGTTTTTTTACGCATTAAATCATTGTTGATTTTTTTTCATTTTATTTTTTGTCATTGTCTTTTTTTTTCTAATCATATTATTAGATTAATCAAGCTTATTGAACCTAGTTGAATCAGTTACCCGAATCTCATATTTTTATTGCTTTTTTAAAAACACGATCATCACAGTAATGTCTTTTTTCTATGTTAGGAAAAAATTAGCTCTGTCAGCGGCGTAGCACAAATCATCTATCTAGTAAATTTACTAAAATGACTCATTAACACTGTAGCAATCTACATTAGTGCTAATTTTTTCTCCAATTCATTCCTTAGTATTTTTTTTCTAGTTGAATTCTTTTATGCCTAATTTGTCAAAAATTATTAAGAAAAAAAAAAGATAACTACAATGTAAAAATGGAGAGGTGAATTCTTTTTCGTTCTCGTACTTTTCTTTTCCTACCTTAGTAGTCCCTATAATTTTTGTAATTTTAAATTTGATCCAAAAGTTTATTTCTTTTACATTTGAGTCCCAATAAGTGAGAGAGAAGAGAAAAAGTCATTGGATTTTGGTTGAAGAGAAAAAACTATCAGTTGACGAGAGAAAATACTAATTTAAGCCATAAAAACCATTGATCTTGATATCCACAAGTTTCATTTGATAATGAAAGTTTGATAATGGTTGTTTTGAACTTTAATTTTTCATGTCAAAACAAATAGGGCGAAGCAAGAAAAATCTTTCCTAGTTTGATTTCATATTTTTGAATCATTTTGGGTTAATAAATAGGTTTTTTAAAGTCCCAAAGATGTTTGTTAGGTCTTTTTATATTAAAATATGTTTTATACTAAAAAAATAAACTTAAATTTTCAGCCACCAATGATTATTAGATTATAAAAAACTAAGTCATCTACATATATTATTTTAAATTAGAATGTTATTCACCCTAAAAAAAATTAAAATAACTCATGGATGCAACCTGGGCTAAAAGATCCATATGCATGGGCTTTGTTCAAGAGTCTATACATCTTGGGCACCGAGACCAAGCCATCTTGGTCTCTTGTTTAATTTTTTGAATATTTTTATATAAAATATTTTTTAAATTTTTTTATAAGGTTTTCAAGTTTCATAGTTTTTTTATTTTATTTATTTTTTTTGTTAATTTAAGGGATATTTTGATAATAAAAAACATGAATACATAAGAACAAAGAAGTTTTAAATTTTTATCTCATTATATATCTGAATTGCTAAAAAAGATTTATTTTTGGTTTTTCTAGAAAAAAATAGCTATAACACAATACATAACCTAATATATAAAATATATTAAATTGTTATACGACATTGACTAATTAAATAGTTCTAAATAATTATAAAAATTAAATTATAAATAACTGTTACATCCAAATTAGTTTAACAAAAAATTGAACACTGCCTTATTGTTATTTGAATACAAAATATATTTTGATACTTGATGGATAATTAATTTAATTTTGTTTTCATTTGTGGCTTGGCCTATTTTTTTTTATTTTTACTTTCAACATTATTTTTAATAATTTTTTTTAAATTTTATTTTTTAATACTTATTTAATTTTAAAATCATTTTTATATTTATTTATTGTATAACTAATTTTCTTTAAAAATATTATTAAATTCATTAAAATTTATAATTAAAATTATAAATTTAATATATTAATCTGAATTAATTTGAATTGATTGAACATATGAACTTCTAATTCCATTGAAAGATCGCCTTCAGAATAAAATCTTTATCTGACCTCTCGCATAGTGGGCGAAGTAACCTATAACTGTAACTAGTTAAAGCGATGATTAAAGGTTCAAGGACAACGGGAGCTTTCATCTCCCCACTTAAATCTAAGGACATCCTCTTGTATTATTCTCCCCTGTTTATAGTTTGCTAGCAATATTTACCATATACTACCATGGATATACTTCATAAAGTTCATATATAGAGGTATAGTGCCCCCTCCTGTTATGACCTCATCTGTCATCCTTACAAGGCTGTAAAATTCCACCGCCTGCTTATAAAGCAAGACCTTCAAGAACCAATAGCCGAAGAAAAACCAAGATAAGCTCTTCATCAAGTTTTCTTGTTCAAACTTCGAAGGAATGGGTAGCTTAGAAGAGGAAAGGCTGGTACAAATGGTGCGTGACTTCATAGAATCAGAATCATCAGCAGCACCCACATTTACTGCTTCCCCAAACTGCCTTTCTATCAACCAAGTCAAGTATCTCACTTTACAGGTATCTTTTTCTTAAATATTGTTCTGTGTTTTGAAAAATTCTTTGTTGTTCTCTGTCTGCTTTGTATTCGTCTATGTGTGTCTCCTAACATTACGGGGTTTGTATGATCTTGTGTTGGTTAGGAGATGCTTGGGATAGTAACAGAAGCTGAGGCTGAGGTTTTGGAGACTCTACTGAAGCATATGAGAAGCAAAAGTGATGCTGAGAAAACAACTAGTAAGAAGTTGTGGATCGTGAAGAGGCTGAAAATGGATGGTTTCAATGCTTCCCTTTGTCAAACTTCGTGGGTCACTTCCTTAGGATGCCCTGCTGGTGGGTCTCCCCCCCCCCCCCCCCTCTCTCTGTCTCTTATACACACATATTCAAGGCTATAGCTTCTCTCATTTTCATCACTGCACCTGTTTGGATTGAAGAGTCTAGCCTAGCTAGTTTGAGTTTTGCCCGATCATTTTAGTTTTCACAAGACCGTTTTATTTATGAGCAAGAACGTGACCGTATCAATATGCTGTTTCTTGAAAATAACTCTCTCATAAACCAATTTTCATCTAGGAGATTCAAACAGTTTTCATTGGTTTTGCCAAGAATTTCAGCGGAGAGAAATATGATCTCGTCCTAATCAGAAAAAAAAGCCAGCCATGCCTTGTGATTACACTCTGAAAAGGGTACTTGGTGTTGACAAGGACCCCTTATCTTTGGAGACTTGGAAACCAGGCACTGGCTCTTAGGTAGATAGATACCTGGTGTGGAGTCCAAGGGAAATAATTTTAATCTTGCGAATCTCATGTTCTTGTTTTTTTGTGCGGTGATCAACTCTCTTATATGCTGTTTAACAGGGGATTACGAGTACATTGACATCACATTAGAAGATGAGAATGGTGGCACAATGAGGCTCATAGTGGACCTAGACTTCAGGTCCCAATTCGAACTGGCAAGACCAACACCATTCTACAAAGAACTAACAGACACACTCCCATTATTTTTTGTGGGCAGTGAAGACAAACTCCACAAAATAATCTCTCTGCTTTGCTCAGCTGCGAAACAGTCCCTTAAAGAGAGAGGGCTCCATTTGCCTCCATGGAGGACTAGCACTTACATGCACTCCAAATGGCTATCCAGGACTTGCGAAGTCGCTAGCGCCACTAACATTGGTTACAGCAACAGAGAAAATAGGGAAGCTAAAAATGGGTACTGCAATATGGGGTCACCTCCAATGGGTAAGCCCAAGAGAAGGGGTTGGGGTGGCGGGGCTGGCTTGTCTAGTCAGCCTCCCTAGCATGGGCGTAAATTGTTGCTGAACATTTTGCTGCTACCCAGTCCAGTCCTAACTTTGACAGACACAACAACTCAAGCTCTTTGAGCTTTTTGTAATGTAATGTTACGAAGTAAATATGCAAAAACAAAACACGTTTTGATTACATTAATTTTGCTAAGCATGTTACTCTCTAGAGCGATTTTTTTTTTTTTTTTTGCCCTCTTCGATTATCATTGGTTCAATTGATAGCCATTTTACAGACTTCTTCTGGTATAGCTCTAGTGATGGCTGTTAATCATGATTGTGATGAAGATATTTAGTGATATTTGTCGTTAAAATGTGTTTATCTTCACTAATATTCAATAAAACAAGAGGCTAAAACAGGATCATAAAGTCAAGGGACAACTAATTAATCGTGACTTGTCTCCTGCTATATCATATAGGGTATCCACGTATATGTTTATTCTTGTAGATTTAGCAAAGATTTGTTTTTATATTTTAAAAGTATTTTAAATAATAAAAAAAGTTATCTTAAAAATCAATAGCTATCAAAATACTAAGTAGGTTCTCTCTCGTAACATTTTACTTTGACCCTTGTAATTTAAAGCTTTTTAATTTCAACCTTAACTTTGCAAAAAGTCCCATGTGTTTCACTTTAATTTTTTTAAACACAACGTTGCTGATTTGTTTTTTATTTAAAAAATAATTGATTTAAATAAACCCCAATTAATTCACTCAATTCATGGAACTTGGACTGATTAGGCTTCAAGTCGACTTTAATAACAGATTCCAGGTAGATTTTGTATGATCCAAGAAAGAATAAAGAAATATATACAGACCAGTCATTTCTTAGGCCTAATACTCACCAAGCCTATCCAAAATATTCCCAAAAAAAAAAAACCCAAAAGTGACACACAAGCAGAAAAGTGAAAAATACAAGACAACGACACCGTTTTAGGAGGCAGAAACCAGGGGCTCTTGTGAAACAGGAGGCTGAAAACAGGGGGGGGAGAGAGCAGAGCAGAGCCCCTTTTCTCCGAGTAGCATATAGAAAGAGGTAAATGCTAATGCTTTCGTTGTTGTTAGGCTTCATTGTATCTTGCCCATCTTTCGTTGTTGTTTTCTTCTTGTACACTACAAGGAACCTCCCTCCATCTTGACACCTCTAGAAAGGAAGAATACCCATGGTTTTGGCATAGAAATTTTCCTGGGAATTCAATCTCTAGAAGCTTTTGTTTTGATTTTCTCTTTTTAGTCCATGCTTCTGTCATACCCTCAGATCAGCCGATTGCATGATTTCAGATGATTAGACTTACTTTTTATTCCATCAAATTATCAAATGTAAGTTATCCATATCAAGAATTAAAAGTTCATGATGATGATCATCTCCTTATAATATGATTTCCAGGCTTTCATATTTCCATAATTTATATTATAGTTACGAGAATGAATGAACGGATTAATTATTTGTAATTATAAGAATAGGTTGTCATAGATGTATTAGATTTTGCTCTAAGTTCAAATTAATAAACCTAATTTTGATGTGATTTTGTTTCTTAATTGTTTCAAGTTAAATGTAAAAAAATAAAAGAAAAATACCATTCAAGCAATTCCTTTTATTTCTTCGAATCTTTTGAAAAATCGAACCAATTTTGGCTACCTAACGCATCGCTGCTCGTGCTTCTTCTTCCTTTTCCTGTGTGTGAAAAAGATGGTAATTTTAATAACATCAAATTGATGTGAAATAAATCACTCTTCTAACATCTATTACAAGAATTAAAAGGGCTACAAATAATTAAAAGGGTAAAAAAAATCTCAAACATAAAAAAAAATATAAAAAAAATCAATAAAAGTGCTGACGCCGGCTAATAGTAGCCGGCCGAATTAGAGTGTCTAGGATGAGGTTTTGTTGCTGAGAATTGAGGGGGAGTGGAGAGAAAATACTGAGCTTAATCATTTCCTTGACGAATCTGTCGTGTTTGTTTCTAACAAAATATTTTTGTTTTTATACTTCAAAAATATTTTTAAATTAATTTATTTTTAATATTTTCGTCTTTTTAATATATTGATATAAAAAAAATTAAAAAATTATTTTAATATATTTATAAACAAAAAAACACTTTAAAAAACAATAATTACTACAAATCCTCTAACTTTACTCAATTTATATCAACGGTTTATAAGCAAATCATCTCTTTAAGAACACAAGATTTTCTGGGTTTTTTCCTCCAAAGGAAAGACAAGATTTTCTCCTGCAGTAAAGTCGTGTCATAGTACAATGAACAAACATAATGAAGTGTCGAGAAATCCCTGAATATGCTTCAGGTAATGGAATGAGAACAGGAAATCTTCCATGATAAGAAAAATCTTTTATCATATTCATTTGGTCAAGTTGATTGTCAGATAAATGCTGTTTGTCAAAAGAAAATGATAATTTTAAACAAAAATTGGCCAATAAGGAATATTTTATTTGTCGCTTCAATAAATTCTAAAGTTAACCTATGTTCATCTAATTTATTTAAAATAATATTATTTTGATTTTTTTTTTAAGTAAACCAAGTTTTAATTAAATTAATCAAATTATAAATTAATCTACTAAATCAAATCAACTTTATCGCCAGCAAGTTAAGTGATTGATTGACTTGCTGATATTTATTGAGTAATTAAAGGATAATTAATGCCATGTATCAAATCCTAGAATAGTAATCTTTGTGTCTAGCATTGACAAACTAGCCAAGCCAAGGCACAAACATGCATGAATTTCAATACTTATAGGAGTCTCTCATGCATGCATATAATAATTCATTGGAGGATTAAGGTTCTAATTATCTTGGGCTGTGCCATTATCAAAGAGGAAAATGATTAGGAAATGGCTAATTGTTGACTATGCACATTAGTGGATTAATTTATTTAGATTTAGCTGTTTGGTGAGGAAATAATTTTAGTCGGCCATTCCTGACTTTAAGAACACCAATTAAACACTGCACTTGTGATCCTGCTTATTCATAGTAGGTTTGGTGTAACACTTTTAACAGGAATTTTAAGAAGATTAATTTTGATTATTTCTTTTCAATCCTCAAAGTTAATATTAACCAAATACCCACCCACTTTTATCCTTTTCTTATAAATTATGTTATATTTTTAGGTAACCAACACTACACCGTTGGCTGACCCAATTTATTTTCAACGTAAAAAAAATACTAAAGCAATGTAAGATTTCCTAAAAACAGATTTGAGACTCAAGTATTTGACTCGGTTAAGTTTAATAAGCTTGTTTAATTTAATAATATAAATAAAAAAGAACAATGATAATAGATAATTTGAAAAAAAAAAAGCAACTAAAAAAGGTAAAAACACTTGATTGGAACCCATTCAGATTAGCATGCTAAATATGAGACTTGGATGTGATACCGAGATAGCTTTGTTAAAAGCAAATTTAATGAAATCATAAAGCTTAATTATCAAACAATCCGATATTGAAAGACAAAACTTAAAAAAAAAAAAACTATTTTTCAAAAGATGTAATGAAAATAAAAACTCAAATCAAACAAGGTTAACCCACGCGCTAACCCTACAATCATTGACAAAAAACTAAAGTAACCCTATAGAAAGGGAAAAGAAGAAGAAGAAGAAAAGATAAAGCACAAAAACTAATTCTCAATTAATTAAAGGCTAACGGATAAAATTGAGATTAAAAAACCAAATGTTAAAGGATCTTATATAATATTAAAGGAAAAGTTAAATGATAAGATAAAGAATAAAAACTAATTCTCAGTTAATCAAAGGCTAAGAGATGAAATTGAGATTAAAAAACCAAATGTTAAAGGATCTTATATAATATTAAAGGAAAAGTTAAATGATAAGATAAAGAATAAAAATTAATTCTCAATTAATCAGAGATGAAATTGAGATTAAAAAACCAAATGTTGAAGGATCTTATATAATAATAAAGGAAAAGTTAAATGATAATATAATGACCCCATATAAAGTAAAAATAAAATAAAATTGAAGCTTAATTTACAAAAAATAAAATATTAAAGGATAAAATTAAATGAAAAATATATAATCCAAAAAACGTCTAAAAACAACTCAATCCCACCCGGATCAATATGCAAAATCTATAACCTGATTGTGTATCGAGGTAACCCTGCTAAAAAAAAATTGAATAAAACTTCAAAACTTAATTATCAAACAACTCAACGTTAAGGAATGAGATAACCTAAATTATTTTTAAAATCAATGAAAAAATCCAATAGAAAACAAACAAAAATAATAATAATGGAGTTTGATCTCTAATTAAATAAATGTTAAAGTATGAAATTAAAAAAATATTAGCTTGAAAATAAAAATAAAAACCAAGCAAACCCGGATGAATATTTTAAATTTAGGTTAATCTTCCAAGCATGATACCTGTGAAATTCTAAACCTAAACTTAATTAAGAAACTCAATTTCTCACTAATTTAATATTGAAAGATAAAACTGAGAAAAAAGATATCAATTTTAAAAGTTTATTGAGGTAAAAAAATAGCTATAAAAAAATTGATAATCAAATCTAATAGGAAAAAAAACCTAAAGAATGATGAAATTGTAAACAAAAAATTAATTTTTAAAAATATTTAAAATAAACAACAGCAATCAAAAAAATAAGGATCAAATTTGAAAAAAAAAATTAAAGGATGATGAAATTGAAAACAAATCTCAATTTGATCAATTATCTCAATTAAAATAAATTATAAAAAAATAATTAAATTTGAAAGAAGAACAAATTAAAGGGTTATTTTGAAGACTTGGATAATCATACACAAAAATCAAGAAAGAGAACATAAATAAAAAGAAAAGAGATTGTTAGTATCAAATCAGAGGTCCACTGACATGAATGCATTGCTAAGACAATTCAAATAATATCCTAAAAACAATTGTTTGGTCATATGTTGCCCAAATAGTATTGGCTTTAACTATATGTTGGCAATGGCATTGCATATGCCAACTATTTTTTAAAATAATATTTTATATTTCAAAAAATACCAAATTGCACCTTACTCTACTTGATTATATATGTAAAAATCAAATTAAAAAAATAAAAAATCCCATTGGCTCTTACTTGAGAATTTTTTTAAAAAATAATTAAATTATTTTACTTTGCTAAAAAAAATATAAAAAAATAATTTATTCTCAAATCAATTTGATAATAA